CACCCGGATGTCTGGTGCCGGGGAGGAGAGGGGAGGGGAGGGGGTTCCCGGACATCCGAGTCCAGCAGGGGAGGTGTGTGCCACGGCACACCTGGAGGTGACCCCTCACCAGTATCCCCAGTTCCTCCCAGCACGTGCCAGTACCCAGCCCCCAGTCCGCCCCAGTGTGCCTCCTGGTACCCCCAGTCTCTCCCAGTACAACCACCCCTTACCCCCCCAGTCTCTTCCAGCCCCACTCACCTGGCCCCAGTGTACCCCCACTGTCCCCAGTCCCTCCCAGTGCATTCCAGTCCTCTGCCACTATTCCCCATGGTGTTCCCAAATCCCTCCCAGTTTGTCCCAGTCCCCCCAGTCCCTCCTCCTGCATCCCAGTGTCACTCAGTGTCCCCCCAGTGCCCGTTTAAGCCTTGCAGTGTCCCCCAGTATGTCCCAGCATCCCCCAGTGCCTCCCAGTGCATCTCAGTCCCTCCCAGTTTCCCTCCCCAGTGCCCCTCCAACATTCTCAGTGTCTTCCAGAATGTTCCAGTGACCCCCAGTGCCTCCCAATGCATCCTTGTTACACTCAGTGCCCCCCCCCGTGACCCCCCCAGCCTTCCCAGTGTCCCCCAGCATATCCCAGCCTCCACCTCAGTGTCCCTCCCCAGTCCGTCCCAGTCCATTCCAGTCCCCCCCAGTTGCAGTCTGGGCAGAGAAGGAACTGCCTGAGGCCCTGGGAGGTGCCACCTGGGGGTGTCCTATGTCATCCCCCACCCCCAGCCTGTCCCCTCCCTGGGCATAAAGTGGCTCCAGTCACAGCACTGGGACAGACTGGGACCATGGGAGTGCAGTGAGTGGGGACACTGGTGGGCATGGGGGACGTGGGGACATAGGGAACATGGGTGCATATGTGAGACATGGTGGACACAGGGGAATACGGGAGACCAGTGAGGACATGTGAGACATGGGGCACATGGGGGGACAGGGGAATATGGAGGGGGGACATGGAGGGGGGACATGAGGAACATGGGAAGGACAAGGGGCATCGGGGGGGTCATTGGGGACACTGAGGATATTGGGGGAGACATGGAGGGTCATGGGGGGATATGGGGACACTGGGGACATGGGGAAGATGGAGAGGTCAGAGGGGACGTGGGGGATGATGGGGGATTCCCTCACACTCCCCCAGGCCTGGACACATGAAGGTCTCCCCCGTCGTCATCCTTCTCCTCCTCAGCCACGCAGAGGACTGGGGACCCCTGAGGACACTGGGTACCCCTGTGGGATCCCTGGGTGAGTTTGGGGTCCCAGGCTTATACTGGGGAGGTGCCAGCCCCATACTGGAAGGTTCTGGAGTGATACTGGGAGTCCTAGGCCCACAGTGGGAAGTCCCAGTCCAACAGGGATCTAGGAGGTCTCAGACCTATACTGGAAGGTCCCAGCTCCATACTGGGACATCTCAGTCCCCTACCAGCAGGCCCCATGCCCACTTGGGGGGTTCTGGGGTGACACTGGGGGTCCCTGACCTATATGGGGAGTTTAGGCCCATATTGGAAGGTCCCAACTCCACACTGGGAGGTCCCAGGTACCACTGTGTGTGTTCCCCAGGTGGCATCCTGTGTGTCCCAGGTGTGTGACAGGTGTATGTCCCCAGGTAGGGTCCTGTACCCCTTCGGACCAGGGGTGGGGGATGAGGCCACCCACCATGAGGACGACGGGACGAGCCCTGAGATCTTCCTCCAGGAAAACTTCTCCTTCTTTGGGCGTGCCCACCGCTCACTCTATGTTGGTCATGTGACTGGGGGGACATGGGGGAGGTGGCATTTGGTGGGTAACACAGGTGGAGGGTGACACCAAGGGAAGGGTGACAAGTTGGATGCAGCCACAAGAGTTGATATCATCTCTTCCTCCTCCTCCTCCTTGACTATGTTGGTGAGTGGGGACCCCTGGGGACATCAGGGATACTCATGGGGGTCCCTGAAGACACTGGGGACACCTGTGGTGCCCTCAGGTGGTTTTGGGGTTCCAGGCCCATACTGGTAGATTCTAGGGTGACAGTGGGGCTCCCAGGCTCATACTGGGAGGCTCTGTGGTGACTGACTGGAGGTTGGGGGTCTTCACAGTTGAGATCACCATAGTTGGGGATCACCACAGTTGAGATCTCCATGACTGGAGACACTGTACCTGGGACTATCGTGGAGGATCCCTGTGGTTGATGCCACCCAGGTGTGTCCCATGGGTGACCTCTGCCTGCAGGTGAACAACAATGGCGTGGTGTCCTTCGGGACAATGGTCCCGGAGTTCACCCCCCAGCCCTTCCCGCTGCCAGGCCATCGCCCCTTTGTGGCGCCGTACTGGGCTGATGTGGACACCCGTGTGGGAGGAGATGTCTTTTACCGGCAGAGCCGGGACCCCCAGCTGCTGGCGCGCCTGGCCCAGGACCTGGCACCTGCTGTGCCACCCGGGGACCCGCCTCCACAGCCTACCTGGGCATTCGTGGCCACCTGGGACCGTGTGGCCTATTTTGGGACTGCCTCAGACAAGGTGGGATATGGGCAAGGTGGGGAGGGGCTCAAATATCTTGACCTTCAACCATGATGTCCCTAACCACGGTGGCACCAATGGTTTGGGGACACAGGGATGGAAACATAGCTGGGGGTCACGGTGACATGGTGACAATGTCCCCCTGCAGGTGAACACCTTCCAGGCTGTGCTGGCCTCAGATGGTGTCACGTGCTTTGTCCTGCTCAACTACGGAGACTTGCAGTGGACAACTGGCATTGCTAACCAGGGGGATCCCCACACTGGCCTGGGGGGCATCCCTGCACAGGTGGAGACACAGAGACGGACAGGAGATACTGGGCATGGGGACATCCCTGTGCAGATGAGGACAGTCCAAGGGATGGGGGACACTTGGCTAGGAGGGATTCTGGGCTTGACGGGGGTAAAGCATTTTGGGATGGAATGAAGGAGATTTGGGTGGAATTAAAGGGATTAGGGGTGAAATTTGGGGGACTTTAAGTAGGATTTAAGGGAATTTGGGGTAGAATTAAGAAAATTTGTAGTGAAATCAGGGAGACCTGGTCTGAAAACAGAGGTATTTTAGGTGGAATGAAGTGCATTTGGGGTGAAATGTGGCTCATTTTTGGTAAAATTCAGTGGGAATTTGGGCAAAATTTACCCCCCACCTTCTCCCATCCCCCTGTTCCCCTCCCTTCATGTCCTCCCCTGTTCCCTCATCTTCCTTCCTGCAGGCTGGGTTCAACAGTGGAGACGATGTCCACTACTACAATGTGCCAGGGTCACGCACGCCCGCAGTGCAGAGCCTCAGCCACCGCAGCAACCTGGGGGTCCCGGGGCGCTGGGCTTTCCGTGTTGACCACTTCGAGGCCACTGAGGGACCCCCTGAGACTCCTGGCACCCTGTCAAAGACCCCTGAGGCCCCCTGGAGTCCGTTGCCACCCCACAAGACCCTCTCAGTATCCCCCAATCCCCCCAGGACCACAGAGGAGCAGGTGTATGTCTGCGGGTCATGAGCAGGTGACACCTGGGACATTTGGGGAAGGGGGGGGTGCCTAACAGCCCTCACCCCACCCTCACAGAAGGATGTGCCCCCACAGAGGCTGCATTATGATGGAAACAGTAATAAACCCGCTGAGCAACACCTGTGTCAGGTGTGTGTACACAGATGCATGTGGGCAGAAACACAGATGTCGTGTGAAATGTGTATGCATCCCCACCTGTTCCCATGAAGGTGGCGGAATCAGCTGAGGAGGGAAATTGTCAGTGAGAGGCGACAACATCTGAGTTGTGCATGGGTGTGACAGACACACACCTGAGTCACAAAGAGGTGTGGGATAGATACAGCTGGATAACATCTGATGCAAAATGCACTACACCTGGACAGCACCCAGCTCATACACTCCTACATGGTGTTACACCTGGACAACACCCGAGTTCCACATAGGTGTGGATCCACCTGGATAACACCTGCTGCAATACAGCACTCCACCTGGACAACACCTGGGTTGCACAGAAGTGTACCATGACCTGGACACCACCAGCCCAGCCAAGGGCCCCAACACTGAAACCAAGGGCAGAATAAAGGAAAGGGTTTGTGTTATAGTTAGGGTTAGAGGTTACAGTTAGGGGCTAGTGCTTAGAGTTAGGGCTCTGGTTTGGTTAGGAGTAGGCCTAGGACTTACAGGGTCAGAGGTTTGGGATGCTTTTATTAAATAGATGTAAGCTTTAATTTAATATTGGAGTGCCCTAGTTTTTCATTGTTAGTATCTGTAGTTATCCTTTTGGGGGCAGGATGTCATGGATACTAATGCAGTGCTAGATTTTTAGTGAGAAATATTTTTCAGTCCAGGGTGTAGGGATGGTGCAGAGATTGAATCACAATCTAAAGTGATTCAATATTAAGCCCTATTTTGCTTTACACCAGCTCCGTCCTTTCTTACAGATCTTTGGTGAAGACCAAGGGGTCAGGGTTTTCTTTCTAAATTAGTTACACTTTCAAAGATCTGTTTATTAACTGACACCAAGATCACTTAGGAGCAGCTTATCGTTGGTATGGGGAGGAGGCCGGAAGAGAAGGGGGTGATGGAGATGTCTCAAACACCAAGACCCATCCAAGGACTGACTGTTGGTGAAGAACCAAGAACATGATGTGACCGTGAAAGGGGCCATGCGGGGCTAGGGCACCACTTTTCTGGCACTAACATCCTTTTTCTAGTCCCTGGAGACACAACAAACTAAAGACAGCATCAACACAGGAAAGGGCAGGATCGGTAGACCACAGATTGATCTAGTGGTGGGGGAGAAGTGACCACTCTAGACCCCACTTCAAGAAAGATCTGAAAGAATAGACTGAACATGAGAATTAATGTCCAGAGACAGTCACACCTATCTGTCTGTAAAATGATACCAACACCAAGCCCAGGCACTGCCTCCAGGACTGTATTATCCTATCGCCTCCCTCCCTCCCTCCCTCCCTCCCTCCCTCCCCTGGCAGCTCTAGACAGAGTTCTGTATCTGAAACTTGTCTGTGACCTTATGGCTCAGAAGGTGGCCAGGGTGACCTTCACTGAGATGTCTGCAGAGGAATCCTCATGGATCGGTCTCTTTTCAATCCCTGTCGGAGGCATCCGGGCCTCATAGAGGAAGCCCTGGTGCCTGCCTCGGGGCAGCTGCGGTGGGAGCTGCAGGTTGTATGGGGGTGGGGAATTGCCGGAGCCCCCGGCAAGGGGCCAGGAATGGACACTGATCCTTTGCTGACCATGGGCTCGGGGCTCTGCGGCGCCGGGCGGGGGGAGCCCGGTCACCCTGGGACTGTCCGGGAGCCGGGAACAGTGAGAGACCCCGGGCTAAACATTAGCACCGGGCCCGAGGGAGCCTCCCTGTCCCAAATCCCTATCTGCGGCACCGGGGCAGCTCCCGGGATCTTTAGGGCAGGGAGCAGCCGGAGGTGGGTGTTCAAAGTCCCTCCATTGGGGCAGCACTTTGTCCCGATCCAGACCATTCCCTCAGGGTTAGAGTCCCTCGGGGGCCCTTAAGGAGGGCCGGAAGGGGCGCTTGAGGTTTTTCAACCTGAGCAAGGCGGTTTCAAGCCCCTCTCGGTGCTTGGAGCGCTGGCACAGCTCCAGCATGGGAAGGGCGGCCCTAGGCGAGCTGTGGGAGCCGGGAGCGGCTGCCCGAGGCCGCAGCGGTGCCACAGAAGCCGCAGGGCCGCTGTGCAGGAGGAGCGGCCGCGCCGCCCTGGAGCGGAGCTGGGAACAGCTGCGGTCTCGGGGCGCTGCTGAGAGAGCGCGGCGATTCCCGGGGCCGCGGCAGCGCCTGACGGGCGCCTTCCCGGAGCCTTCCTGGGGAGTGCGTGCTGTATGAAAGCGCAGTTGTCTTGGGGGCCGGGAGCGGCTGCGAGGGCTGTGCTCGGCCCCCGGCGCAGGCGGGTCCGTGTGGCCGGGCCGGCACCGTCTCCGCGGCGGGCTCCGAGGGGAGCTACCCGGCGCGGTTATGGCCATGAGGAGCCTGGCGGGACTTGGAGGGCTTGGCTGAACTGGGCTCAGGGGAAAGAGGCTGATGGAAAATTGTTGAAGCATTTTCAAACACCCAGTGGGAAACTATTTTAAAACCATGTGCTGTATGGTGCGTTACAGACAGTGTTTCCTTCAAAATACTGTAATTAACAGTTGATTTTTGTAAAAAGCTTCTGTTGCTGTGCAGGTTCCAAGCAGCCTCCGGTGCTCAGCTGGGAAGTGTCTCTGGGGCACAAACCTGCGGAGGGAGCTGGGCCCTCAGGACTGCTGGCACTGCTCACCGAGCCTCCTTGCAAAGGGGATCTAGGGTGATCCACAGTCAGAGGCACCTCAGGTTCACACCTTTGTGTGCACTTTGCAACTTTTTGTTATGGAAAAAAAATGACCTTTCTGGAACCCAGATTTCACTGTAACTGTTGGAAGGGTTTAACTATTGCAGCATTCTAAGGCAGTTTGTTTAATATGAAGAGTATTTGTTTTAAAGCCTCCTGGTTCTCCAGCCTGGGTGTTGTGACTTTGTGAAAAACATATTCACTCTCCTGTGAAAATTTAAAAAGTTTAATAAAGGACAAGAGGAGACAAGGACCATAGAGCAAAGGTTATTACAGCCAGGTGCATCTTAGCACTCAGGCAAGACCATACTGTGAGAAACAACAGTTCACTTAAAAAATTTAAAGGCTTTATTAAACCTTAACAAAAATACAACAAAAGGACTAAATAAGGAAATGCAGACCTGAGAACTGCCCTCATGGATGCCCAGCACATAGCTGGCTCCTCTTCAAGATGGATGCTTCACCTTTTATATCTCTAGCCCCTCCTAGGGCCTTGTCAGTCAACTCCTTCCTTGCTGTCCAGTGGTAGAAGTCACTTTCTCACATTCTGATTAGTGGTCAGGTGCTGCCACAGTAACAAGCCAGCCTTCCCAAATCTGCGCGTTAGCAAAACTATCGCATGATAAAACATACTAGGGAGAGGACCTTGCAGTAACATAACTATACATTTATAAAACTTCTTTTGCTGTTTACACCTTAATTGTGAGAGCCAGCCATTTATGCATCTATAACAACACTGTCACCTTTGGGGCTACCCCTTAAATACCTTTTCCATTACATCAGCTATTTGCATATTCATAGACATGTATGCATATTCATAAACTAATTTACATATCTCAGGGACTGTTTTACATGGGCTCTTCTTGGGTCCACCTTTTTAGAGCATGTGTGTTTCTTGGCTGTGGTTTTGTGACCTTCTGTTTATCACTTCCATCTTGTGGTTGGGTTCATACTGTCTTCAGATGGTGAGTGCTGATAATTGGCATATCTGTAGAGGTGTCCTCATCCTATGTTCATTGGATGTTATCTCATCCAAGTAGGCATTTTAACACAAACATAGCTATTTCACTACTATGTCTAAGCTTAATTAACAACAGAAATAAAAACTATATAACAAAGTTACTTTAACAACACACATATAAAATCCATTTTAATATTTGCGAAAAACCAATATTAAAATATGTGTCAATAACGATGCTCCATGGAGAGCGTCTTTGTGTGTTAGTGTGAGTCTGCCCATCACAGACGGATCATTGCCACTGGGTGTCATAAAACCAACTCCATGGGAAAACAGTGCCATCTTCAAAGAGCAATAATTCTTCCTTTTTCTTCCCTACATGTTTAAGGAGCTCAGGTTCTTGCAAAAGAACTTACTCTGTGAACAAAAAACAAAGGGCCATCCAGCTTCTGCCAGTTTTTTCTTAGTTTTCCAAGCACTTTTCTGACAGCCTGGGAAAATGGTCTCTGGCAGGTGAAAATCCGTGGGATTGAGACTCTATACCTTGAGGCCTTGGATTTTTCATTCAGTCTTTGACCTTGAGCTGGATTTTTCCTTTCTTCATCTCTTTTTGTTTTAAAATTGCCCTTGTATCAGAAAATGCCATGATCCAAATGCAGTTTCTGTAAGGGTGAGTGTGATTCTAAGACATAGGTTAGGAATTAGAGGGGTATTGATTAGAAATAGATATTTAGATGAAATATTGTTTAATATTTGTTGCATTTTACTGTGCTAACTTCCTGTAAAGGGAAAACAGGGTGTACGTGGGGGACAGGGCATACGTGCGAGTGTAACATGAAAGAATGCAAGGACGTGTCATAAGGGAAGGATGATGTTCATCAAAACAGGACAAAGTTACAAGACTACCAAGACAACAAGGCTCCTCTGGACGCCCAAACCAGATCAAACCAATCTCATGTGACCAAAGGATCAGTAATCATGTGCAAGAAGACGGGATGAGAAGGTCAGCTGTGATGGAACCTACTTACTTCATCCCCCTGCGAACCCCAAGGACCCCCAAGACGACCACCAGAGACAAGTATGCAGGTGCAAGGGGCTGTTAACACATGAAGCAGAGAAGGTAGAGCCAGGAAATGAATATGCATAAATGTATGGCAAACTTAATGTATATGTAACATTTTAGAGGATAAAAAAGAATGCTGAGAGCGAGTAGATGTGCGTGCCTTTGCGGAAGTATCTGGCATGCAACCGGCCAAAAAATACATACCTACTTTATAACTCACTTTGTCTTTGAGTTTTAGAGTCTTTCCATGTATCATTTTGGCATCTCTGGTGGGATGTTCTCTGGCAGCCATAGGACAGACTGAGCAGTGGACTTCCTAAGGTGCACCCCTGGGATTTTCCCTTGGAAAGGATTCCGCTTCTCGGATCGCTCACAGTGGGGACAGACAACCTCCTGGGCAGCGGAGAAATGGTATGTATTTCTTTTACAAAGGGAGGGGCTCCTGTAGGGACACTGATAAGCTGCTCAGAGATGTCTGAGCACACAGAAAGGGTCCTGGTGGGTTTGGGCTTGCAAGCAACAGTTGGTCGGATGTGTAGCCAGTGGGAGAAGGGATTCACTGACCGGTGGAGCGGCTGCTAGCAGTTCTAGGGGTGGACCGAGAGAATTCCTGTTTGATTGCTGCTATTTTGGTTTTGTGTGTGAGTTTTAAAAAGTTCGGACACGTGTATGGCTGTGTGCGTGCCTGAGCCACACCATGGTGCAAAGTGAAGCTGTGGTGTGTTTTTTAGGTAAAACTGCCATCTTGTGTCAAAATTCATAATTGCAGCAAACTACTGTGTGCACCGGCAAAGGGGTGGGGGTTGTTGTGTTTTACCTTGCATAGTCTCTTTTACTGTGTGCTGTCTTTAGGGCTTGTTTGGTGTTGTTTGCCGGGAGTATTTTTTCTTTAAGGATTTTGCGCTTCACTTTGGTGAAGTGCTGTCTATAAGGTTTGTTTACTTGCTTGTTTGCTTTGTTTGTTTGTTTGCTTACTGTGAGTATTGTTTTTAGGGTTTGCTGTGAGGTGTGTTTTAAGGAGAGAGTGAATGCATAAGAGAGGGTTGTGGAATCATGGTTGTCCCAGCCGTGGCGAGATGGTGGAAGGAGTCCCTCTCTTCCAGTAGCTTAGACTCAATTCCTGGGAATTCATAACTCTGAAGAGTAATTGGGTAATAGCGTGTTTATTTAGAGGAACTATATAGAACCTCTGCAGAGAAATTAGTTGCACTAGACTGAAGACAGCCAGCACCAAAGGATTTGAATATCCAGATGAACAGGAGAGGTGGAATCATCTGTTTCTGCAGGCAAGAGCAACATCTTGGGTGGGTGTTGGTTGAGTGCGTGCAGGTCCTGCAGAGTGTTGGCACTGTTCCTCTGGTAGAAGACACATTGCACGTTGTCCCCAGCATTGGCTGCAGGGTCAGGGAGACTCTGAACAAGAAATTTTAGAGTATTTCTGTGGAAGATTGCATTTAGTCCCAGGGATTTAGAGTATAAGGGAAGAAGATTGGGAAAAATAGTGCAAAAGTGCGAGAAGAGATTTGGGTGGAGGTGAAACACGACAAGAAGGAAAAAATAATGGGATCAGGAGAGAGTAAAGAAATCCCTAGGGCAAGGCCTCTGGGCTTTTAGCCCACTGGAAGGAAATTGCAGGTCTGGGAAACATAGAATCCAAACGCATGCTTGTGAAGTACTGCACACAATGGTGGCCTTTTTATACAGACTGGAAAATGGAGCAAAATGGGCACAGACTGGGACCTTAGAATATAAGACCTTGCTGCAGTTCATGCTTTTCCTCAGGCGTGAAGGGAAATGGAGTGAGGTTTCATATGCAGATATGTTCTTTTCCCTCCGAAATCATCCTGAGTGGCAGAGGGATTGTGAGATTAGCCCCCTCTGATACCCTGATATTACCCCTTGAAAAGGAAAACAAAGCTAATAGAGGGAAACCTAAGCAATGCTGCAGTACGTGCTCAATCAATCAGCACTGCACACATCATGACAAGGTTTATCAATCAGACACACAAAAGCAAGAGTCACTGGACCTATTTGGGCCATCTCCTGAGGAGCAAGGGGGACTAAGGAAAGGAGCAGATTCAGCTCCCTTGGAAGGCAGACAAGCTGAGCCATCTGCTCCTCCACTTACTTCTGAATTACAAAAATTGTCATATCCCCCGTTGCCTGATAGTGATAGTGACAATGAAGAACTTTTCATATGTGGTCCCGTATCATCCCAGACTAGAAAACAAACAAAATAATACAAGCCCCTTTATGAGAGGCAGTAGGATCTGGGAACCAAAGGATATTAGTTAAAATTCCTTTTTCTACAGTTGACTTTGAAGGCTGGGAAAGAATTGCCAAGAACTATAGAAGTGATCCAATAAGAACAGCCAAAATGTTAAGATATATGATTAAGCAACATAAACCAGACTGGTCCACTCTACAGTTATTGTAGGTGTTAATGGAGACAGAAAACCAGTTAGTTCTGAAAACAGTGGGGGACTTAGCAGAGAACTCTTGTAGAACAACACAATAGGATATTAAGGATGTTTTCCCTCTCCAGGATGCAAATTGGAATCCAAATGACTCTGGGCAACTGGTAAAAATGCTGCTCAGAATGCTTTATTCCAAACACCTGATGGTATCACCCCACAACAAAGTTTTGCAGACATGCATCAGAGTATTGATGAGACATTTATTAAATTCATAGACAGACTAAAAGACACTATTGATAAGCAGGTCGATTGGCCAAGGGCTAGAGAAGAGCTGCTCAGTAAACTAGCAGTGTCCAACTCAAATGGAATGCAAGAAAATTTTGAAACCATTCCCTCCAGACCCTGAAATCACCATTCAGCAAATGGTGGAAGCCTGTACCCATCTCACAACTACAGAACATATAGTTGCCCTGGCAGCCAGCAAAGGAGTAGCTGAACCTTTGTGGCACAAAATCAACAAAATGTTAGATGCTGTAAGTGTCATGAACTAGGCCACCTCAAGGTAGAACATGATAAAGACTTTTTACAGAAACACCCCTCCACTGGTTGTCCGTCCACTGCATGCCTAGACTGTCAAGAACATTTTAAACACTGTCCCCAGTTTCAATACCACCAGCAGGTTCAGCATCATCTGTCCTACCAGAAACACCAGGGAAACTTCCACCAGAGCGCAGGGCATCTCTGCACGACAACATCAAATGCCAAGCCATTCTGTCCCTCTTTCCCCACCATCCTGGAAAGTCAAGGCTTTCCAAAAGACTGTCTGTGACAGTGAGAAAGAGCTCAGACTCTCTGAGATGTACCAAGATGTTCAGGCAGGGACACTGTGCACACTGGTGAGCACCCTTTCCATCCGGTTTGATGATGAGGTGATCTACCAAATTCCAGCTGCTAAATTTGGACCTTCTCATGGACCAAGGGACATCTTAATCACAGGGGACTCTGTTAACGGACTGACAATTTGCAAGTACTTCTGGAACTTCAAACTGTGGGATCAAGGGATGAAATTACTGTGACTGTCTCATGTATAGATCCACCTTGTTTTTTTTTTCTAAGGGCACACCCATTGCCCAAGCTTTCCTCATACCCACCTGGACTGACATTTTGCGGTAAACCCTATGGTATTTTGGGCAGAGATTGTGGGCCAAGACAGGCCTTTTACAGAATGTGGCTTGTTTAACAAAGGGGACAAAGTTTATCTTCCAGGAGTAGCAGATACTGGAACAGACGTGACCATCATTGCCACAGGTCTGGGACCTAGTACCAGCCAGTGGAGTAATCTCTGGGATTGGAGGAGCTGCCACCTCTATGCAGAGCAAATGGAAAATCCTTATTGAAGGACCTGAGGGTCAGATAGCTACAGTAAGACTTTTCATGGTAAGGGCACCTGTCATCTTATGGGGTAGAGACCTATTGTCTCAACGAAGAACAAAGCTAGAAATCCCCTCACCATCCCGGAATTTCTAGCTGGGGCCACTGTGGAGCGCCCTACCACACCACTCACATGGAAAACTGATGAAACAGTGTGGGTTGATCAGTGGCCCCTTTCAGAAGTAAAGTTAAAGGCACTTGAATCCCTACAGGAGCAATTGTCCAAGGGCCACATAGTACCATTCACTAGGCCTTGGAACACCCCTGTCTTTGTCATTGGTAAACCAGGCAAAGACAAGGGGAGGCTCCTGCAAGACCTCAGGAAGGTCAATGAGGTCACTGAAGACATAGGCTCTCTGCAGCCCAGCCTACCCTCACCCTCAGTGCTTCCAAGAGATTGGAAACTGGCAGTCATTGATATCAGAGATTGCTTTTTTAACATCCCTCTCCATCCCAGAGATGTCCCAAGATTTGCGTTTTCTGTGCTATCAATTAATAGACAAGCCCCTCTAAAAAGGTATCAATGGGAAGTTCTTCCTCAAGGGATGAAAAATCCCCCAGCTATCTGCCAAATGTTTGTTGCCTGCATTCTCTCACCCATTCAAGAATAATTCCCTGATGCCACAATTTTTCACTCTATGAATGATATTTTAATATGCATTGAGAATGACTATTATTTGGAGATTGTTCTAAAAAAGACTACTCAAGCCATTGAAGGAGCAGGATTTGAAATTGCTACAGAGAAGATTCAGTGCCCCTGCCCGTGGACCTACCTTGGACTCTAAATCGGTGAAAGGACCACCGTACCCCAGCAGCTCACCATCAAGGACAACCCAGGTACCTTGAGAGACCTTCATCAGCTATGTGGGAGCATAAACTGGGTTCACCCACTGCTAGGGATCACAACCGAGGACCTTGCACCCCTTTTCAACCTCCTGAGAGGCTGCAATGACCCAAACAATCACACCAGAAGCCCAGGTAGTGATCCAAAAGGTATCAGAGGCACTTTCCACAAGACAAGCCCACCATGCTGATCCTACTCTGCCTTTCCAATTTGTCATCTTGGGTAAGTCACCCAAGTTTCATGGGCTCATTTTCCAGTGGGACCCCACTCTGAAGGATCAGCTTTTAATCATAGAGTGTCTGTTCCGATCACCCCAACCACATAAGAACATCACTACATCCCAAGAGCTGTTGGCTCAGCTCATTATAAAAGCCAGATCACACCTCAAAACCCTGGCGGGGTGTGAGTTCACATGCACTTACCTTCCATTGACATCAGGTGATCTGGAAGCTTTGTTCCAGACCACTGAACGCCTCCAGTTTGCTCTTGACAGCTACCAAGGTCAAATCTCTGTCCACCTACAGAAACATAAACTGTTTAATGAGTGTTTTAATTTGGTCCCAAAATCATTAGAGTCAAACTCCTTTAAAGGCACTGTTTTTACTGATGGCTCTGGAAAATCCCACAAGTTATGACTTGGAAAAATCTGAGGGACAAAATCTCACTCTGGAGTGGGAGTCTGATCTTCAAATTGTTCAGGGATCCCCACAAATTGCAGAATTAGCAGCCGTTCTCAGAGCCTTTGAGAAGTTCAAACAACCCTTGAATCTGGTTACTGATTTGGCCTGTGTTGCTGGGATAGTTGAAAGAACAGAACATTCTTTGTTAAAGGAAGTGCCAAATCCAGATCTGTACAGCTTGCTTTCGAAGTTAATATACCTCCTCTCCCACCGAGAGCAACCATATCACATTAGGCATGTGAGGTCCCACACTGACCTCCCAGGATCAGTTACAGAGGCCAACCGGAGAGCAAATAATTTAGCCATGGCAGTGCAGACCACCCTACCACACATTTTTAATCAGGCTAAATTGAGCCATCAGTTTTTTCACCCAAATGCACCAGCCCCTGTCCGTATGTTTAAAATCACAAGGGAACAGGCAAGAGCAATTGTGGGCTCTTACCCCAGTTACCAGGAGTTTGTTTTGCCCTCCATGAGGGCTGAGGTTAACCCCCAGAGGTACCCAAAGCTACCACTTAAATCACAGGGAAGGGTGGGTGTAGAATACTAAAACCTGTCAAGTTTTTATAGGTGTTGGTACATAATAGGAATTTGTCTCTAAATTCATTTGGAAAGAAGCCCTCTGTTGTGGTGTGTTTTTTGTTTTATTAGTAGGTTTATTTGATTTGTAATTTTGTAGTTCTTATGCTGTTTCCTTTTTGTTTCTGCCCTTTTCCCAGAACTTTTGTCACTTTTTCTGTTATTAGATCCCAGTTCCTTTTTGAACCTGCCTTCTTTTGAGAAACTTCCCTGTCAGTTTTGTATTTCTCCAAACTTTATTAGTTCACTGAGATTGTTCTCCTTCCTTGGGATTCTTTATTGGTTTATACATTGTATTCCCTGCCTTGTTTTTACGGCCAATTCTCCCGATTTGTTAAAGATTGTATCCTCCCCTTGGGATCAGCCCCCATATATGAGCTCCCATCTGCCCCCTGTTCGGGGTCCTGGGATGAGGAAGAGGGGAAGATTTACCATCAAATAAAGTTACCCTGGGACTGGTGTGCTGCTCTGTTGCTCTGTTTTTTATGCTGCGCCGGCACTGGTAACTGGGATTCAACAGCACTCAAGGGGGGATCTTCCGCCGCCCCCTCCTGTCATCAGCTAGCCGGGAGGAGCGGCAACCCTCTATCCACTCATTTGTACACAGGAATGTAGGAAACTCTGACTAGAGATGGGTAGTAGTTTTGAAAATAATGCCATAACATTTTTATCTAGGAATGAACCAAGCAAGTGCCCTGAAACCATAAGAACAGCTGCAGGGGCTGAAGGGACTAGAAAGGGCTCTCTGGCACCTTTTGCCTCCATTCTCTGCCAGTCCCCAAATTGTGTTGCAGTCCCGGAAGAGATATTTGTCATCCAGACTGCCAAAATGAAGATCTGTAAAGTCCTAGCTCTGCCTTGTGTTTAATGTGTTTTTACTTCATATTTATGTCATGACAGGAAGCAAGGAAAGAAGAAATGTGACTGGTTCCCACTATTGCTGTGTGAAGGCTTTTTTTTAAAGGCTGGTGTACTTATATTCTCTTTTTCCACTCCAAGGTTGACTTTTCCCCTCCTTTTTTTTAATGTCTGCTGCATTGTGTATCCCAAGGAGGGCTGGGTTCCTCAGCGGGGGTCTCAGGAGTTGGTGCTGATTGTTTTTCTGAAGGTCTATCAAAGTGTGCTACCAAAATGACTGTTTTTGCCACTGGAAAGCTTTCCCTCAATGACCATCAATGCATGTACGTGCTTTAATCATGTAACCAGACTAAGAAAAGCCAACACCTGTAGTAGATTTCTGTTTGGTCTGTGTCTGTGAGAAGCAGGCTGTGTGCTGGAAAGGGAGGGGTGCTGTTGGAGAGTGGCAGCAGTGCCCGGTGTGAGCTGTGAGGATGATGAAGGCTCAGACCAGCCCCAGGTGTAAGCTGTGAGGATGATGAGGGGGGCAGCTCCTGTGGGGGGCTGTTTAGGGGGTTTGCCTCAGCTCCCTTTTGTATGGAGCTGGTGAAAGAGAGGGGTTTATGAGGGGCTCCCAGGGCTCTCTCATGGGTGGATGGTGGCAGCTTCTCACAGGGTCTGGGGAGAAAACCTGGATACACCCTTGGATACATGGAGCATTTCTTAAAGGAGATGCTGAGGGACAAAGCTTTGTGCCAGGAAGCAGCAGCTGAACAGGTAAGCCTGTGTGGATTTGTAACAGGGACTTTTCTTCTTTCCCTTTTCAATTTTATCTTGCTAATCCCTCCCTGGTGCCCCTAGGAAAAAAAAAAAAAAAGAAAAAAAAAAAAAAAGGGGAGCTATGAGGACAAATGAAATTAAAAAAGAGGGAAGTAACTCCTCTTCCATTATTGTCTGTGTTTGAACTGGGGGGGAGGATTCCCCTTCACCTGTGGTTTTACAGGTATTGACTGAAGGAAAACCTGCCTTTTCCAGGATGTTAGGGATATCACAAGGGTATCAGGGAATCCCTGTGTTCTATATTAAATGGAAAGGGAAAAATATTGTTGTTGTATTATGGGTTTGATTTGAGGGTAGCCCCCCCATTTTCATCATCCTAAGGTTTAAATTGAGGGGGCAGCCCTGTTGTCCCTCCTTTTAAAGGGCTTGAATTGAGGTAAAAATCCCCCTTTTTCCTTTGAGGAAAATCCCTTTTCCTGCTATTATTGGGGATAAAATCGAAGGGGAGAACACATCATTTATTTGCCCTTGTGTTGGTTAAAGTGAGGTGAGCACCCCCTGTTGTGTCAGTTTCGGGGGCTCAGTTGAAGGAATCTCCAGCTCTCGCAGTGTTTGAGGGGTTGAAATCGGGCTGTGCCACTGCATTTGAGGGCGCTTCTTCTGGCCCGGCTCCAAACGCTCTCGCGCGGAGCCCTCCTGGCATCGCCTGGGGAGTTGCTGAGGTGGAAGGGGAATTTGGTGTGGCTGGGCTGCTGCGGGACTGCCAGAGCTGCTCCAGTGCGAGCCGTGCGGTGCCGAGGGCAGTTGTGCCGGGCCGGCGGGCGGGAGAGGCGGCACGGGCGCTGCGCTGGCCCCGGCCCCGCCGGGCGCGGGGAGCGGGCGGGGATCTCCCGGCGCGGCGCCGCCCCTGCGTGCCGGAGGAGCCGCTTTCCTGCGCGGAGCCGCGCTCCGTCCGGTGCTGGGAGCGCGGGTTTTAATTTTTGAAAGTTTTTTTATGTAGGTGGTTTTTGGGAATTTATTATATAATTTTATTTTCTTTGTAGTTGGTGTATGATTAGGGATATGGTGTACTTGAATGTTATGGTTCTTGGTTCAGGTGTTGATGATAAGGGGTTTTTTTGAGTTTTTTTTTTTATTTTTTTGGGTGGGGTTTTATGTTTTTAAAGGATATATTTTTTACGGTTTACAATGGTTTTTATGGGTCATAGCATGAAGTAGAGGGTACGTTTTTAATTCTGTTGTTGTGGCTTTTATTAGCATGAGGATGTAGTGTTTGTTTCAGTGGGTTTGAGGTAGTGTCCTGGTGAGGACATTTAATTGGTGAGGTTTTAAAAATATTTGTAATTGCATTATTGTTTATTATATTATCAGGGTTTATTTGTTTTGTTTGATTGTAGTGTATATTTTATAGTTACAGTTAATTAGGGACTTATTGTTTACGGTTACAATTATCTTGGCTTTGTGTTTATTTCTAGGTGGTATTTTTGTTTTGATAGATTGAAGAATTTTGGATTTATTGACTTAGGAATAACTTTTTGCTGTTAATTCAAGTTTATTTGTTGGGGAGTTTTTGGTAGTTTGATGGATTTGGTTTTGTTTCTTATTAGTTTTATTTTTTTGGGGACATGGGTATTTATATGGTGGAATTTTTTAGGCAGTTATTTTATTTGGGTAGGGTTTTTTTAGTGGTTTAGATTTTTGTATATTGTTAATCTGTTTGGGTTTTTAAGTTATAGAGTATTGGTTACTCTGAGTTAGTGTAAAGGTAGAGATTTGGTTATTTTTTTTAAGTATTATTCAGGGTCTATATGGTTTGGAGTTTGGTAAGTTGGTTTGATTTCTTTTTTTTAGTGGTTTTTGGCATTTACTGTGGGGGTTTCTATAGGGTTGTTTTAAAATTTTGTTTATTTTTGTGATGTGGTAAGAATTGTTAGTGAAAAGAGTGTAGTGTGGGGTTTTTTTGCTGGTGGTTTTATGGTGGAGTTTTTTAGTTTGTGTTATTTGGTTTTGGTTTTTTTTTTTTTTTGTTAGATATTAAAGCTTTTATTTTGGAGTTAATTTGTAATTATTTTCAAGGTTTTTAGGGCAATTTAGATTTTTGATATGGGTGTGATAAATGATGAGAGTAATTTATTTGTTTTATGTGGAATTGATGGCAGGGTAGAGAACATTTTTGTGTAGAATATGTATTTTAATCACAGTAGTTGGGATGGTAGGAGGAGTTGTATTTTAGTGTTTGTTTTTGAGGTGGTTTGGAGTTGCTGGGGTTTTTTGTTGGCTGGTGGAGCTATTCTGACTTTTTTATTATATTGGTGGGGATTTGATGCTGTTTCTTTTATTTTCAGGAATGGGATCTTTTCAGTAGGCTTTTTGATTTTGCTTTTTTGATGGTAAAGTTGTTTTTTAGGAGAATTTGGATGAGTTTTTAAAATATTTTTGTTATACTTTTTATCTAATGTTGGTGGTTTATCATAGGTCTTTCAGAGGTTTTTTTAGTTTAATTTAGATGACTTTATGGTAGATGGTAGGAGCGTTTTTATTTTTGGGGTAGTTGGTTATAGGGGTATTTTATGTTTTTTAAGTGAAGGCAAATGGAGGTTTGTATTCAGTTGTTAGAGGAATGGAGAAACGTGTTGATAATCTTAATAATGACATGTTATTTTGTTGTTTTGGATTTTAGCTTGTATTGGAATTTTAATAAGTTTGTTACAGTGGTGTTTAATGGTGGAGTTATTTAAGGTATGACAGTTTAAAGTTAATTTTTATTTGTTTTAGATTTATGTATAGTTTAAATGGTGTTGGTGAAGGGTGAGTAGGTTTTGTTGATGACTTTTTGGTGTTTTAGTTTATGAAGTATTTTTTGGAAGGGAGTTACAGTATTTTGAGTTGTTTGGTGTTGCTGGTGGTGTATTGTTGAGGTGGTAATGGGTATTTGTGGGGTTGTTTTTAAAGAAGTTTTATTATAGATGGTCCTAGATACTTGAAGTCAAGTGTTTAATTGTTTTATGTTTTTTGGCTTTATAGTAGTTTTTTTGAGTTTGTTTTGATTTTGAAATCTTTGTTTTGGAGGAAGTTCATGTATAGACTGTATAATTATTTTGGGTCAAAATAGAATTTTAAAATTTTATTTTTAGTGAGGTTTTTTTAGGTTTATTACAGTTAAATTTTGTGATATTTGTATTAGGTTAGTAATAGAAATAGGTTTTGTTTTACAGGTTGTGATGAGGGTAGAGTATACTGTGTACACTAAAGTTTTATATTTTTGTGGTTCTGATGTGTTAGGTTAATGAATTTATATAGTTTACAAGACATGGTATTTTTTAGTTTTAATTGCTTAGAGGCAGGGGTTTTTTAACTTTAAGGTTTTTTTTGGCATAGACCTCAAAATGGCCGACACTGGGGTGCCAACCTAAAAATTTGCAAATTTTGCTGGATTTCTCCAAAACTAAAACTGTTGGAAACTAGGACTGTGCACACTATTAGAGCCCCAAATGCCACCTCTGAGCTGCTACCCAGAGGCTAGGAAAATGACTTCTTTTTCCCCTGGAAAATGGCCCCTGTTTCCCGCCACTTGCACAGGCTGACAGTGGGGTGGCAACCGAAAAATTTGCAAACCTTGCTGGATTTCTTCAAAACTAAAGGTGACAGACTCGAGGACCTTGTACACTCTTAGATCCGCAAACACCACCTCAGAGCTGATACCCAGACCCTGGGGAAATGACTTTTTTTTCCATGGAAAATCATCTCTGTTCACAGCCAGTTGGGCTGACCAACACTTGGGTGCCAACATAAAAATTTGCAAACTTTGCTGGATTTCTCCAAGGCTAAAACTGCCTGCAACTGGGACCCTGCAAGTCCTTAGAGCCCTAAATGCCACCTCTGAGCTGATACTGAGAGCCTGGGAA